ATAAACTGAAATTTTAAATGGAATTCTGTGGTTTAATTAAACTCTTGTGCCCATTAAAACTATACTTCTGCTTACAACCACCTTAAAAATCCTTTGGGAGCACAATTTGCAAAAGCTACTGTGTTTTATTACTCTTGGTACTGCAATGTTTTATGCCTAAATATCCAACTAATATGCGAAGTATTTTGCTACAAAGTAAAGAATTGCAACCATGTAGTTCACTAAAACGCAATTATTTTTAACAGATTCAGGCCAGAAATAAACCAACTGGTCTGAAAGTAGACTTTTTCAAGTACAGTAGTCTTATTAGAGTAAAACATAAAAGATTCGTCTGTGAAGATGTCATAAAGTTGTCAAAACTACTGGAAGAACAGCATCACCATCTAAGTACACAGAATTTTAAGGGAAAACATTATTAGAACACGGTGACATAGTGCTTTTTTGAATAACTTTTTCAAAAAGGTGTCTGTGGAAATAAGAAGAGTATGATAAACTTAGCTGCTGACCCTTCTTATAAAGTAAATGCAAACTAGTGGAAAACAATTACACATACACACAAGTAAGGTCCTGAAAATAGCTTCTGCAGTGATTGTAATTCGGCCCCCCACACTAACTGCTGCTATTTTCTGGCCCTGTACAGAAAACGATGCCATACAAGAGATATTTCATATCACAAAGAGCAAGCTATAAACATATAACTGCAAACAAGGTAACAGTCATCTTCTATCAGGTCACCCAAAGGTCAGGTATAAGCTCCTTCCAAGGTATGTTCCAGCAGGGCTTTATGCTGAAAGCTTCATAAACTAATTTTAAAAGGAGAAAAAATAAAACCTACAATCTATAAAAGCAATTAAAAAAACAAAGAAATTAAGATAGCAGAACAAATGTTCAGAAAGCTAGGAGATCTACTACCTGTACCTTATTAGGTGGTCTGTTCCCTATAGATTTGTTTCTGCTCATCAGCTGACTGCATGTGCATAATCATGAGAACTGTCCCACAGATGAACTGAAGAATATATAAGAAGCAGATGGGTTATAGCCATTAAAAGTCTCAAGACTTTTGACCTTGGACTTCCAGAACAGTTCAATAAGATCTATCCATAAATGAAGACAAAAATGTTTTCTGAATATCAAACCACTATGTAACATTGACTAGATCCAGCTACAACATGATTTAGTAATCTGAAATTATTTTTCCCACAGTTTACTATGCACCAATAGCATTTACTTTCCTCCTTGCAGGATATGGACATATTGATCAGCAGCATTACTGAATAGACATCTACATGGACCTTTATACACCTGAATAAGCTTCACACAACCATTAAGTATAGACATCAGTATCAGAATACCAGTTGTTAGTCCACAAAATGAGCATTTTTAATCACCAAAAGTGGTAAACTTCTCACTGTTTGTAGGAAAATAGAATAATTTTGCCCACAGTCTCTTCCTTTCTGCCTACTGGACAATTATGGCAGCCTGCACATTGCTACCATTTTCCAAAAATACCTGCAGCCTATCACTAATCATATGATCATATGAACATCCATTTCCTGATAAAAATACAGACATATCCCATACATGAGCAGGTACACCCAGTCACTAAGCCATGCCAAAAGCATTCTGATCACACATTTGATCTACTTGTCTTTTTAAGGTGTGAAGGTAGGTCATTACACACATTCAGTGTTTCATATGGAACTATATCATCTGCCCAGTGTAATGATTTCACAGCCCCACAAGTCCCAGTGAAGAACTGTTTCTTTATCAGGCAGAGAAAGGCAACTTACAGGTAATCCATTAGGGATACCTTATGTGCCAGTCTATGTGCCAGGACTCACAATTTTAAGAATCCACAGTTCTGCTTCTTTCTGAGATGAGGGAAGCACACACAGTGCTTCTCTTCAGCATACACTGCTCTGCTTCCCAGCAGAATCAGGGGAATCTAGCACCATGGGAGGCTAAGGTGTGCTACACTAATCACTCCGCAACACCTATCTGTTTTGTTCCATTCTTGCTCTCACCCACAGCTACAAAGAGCAGCAGGAACCTCCTCTAAAGGTCCCCATGACATTGAAAAGGATCCCCTTAGATGGTTTTCCCTTATCATGAAGCTGAGATTTATTCTGAGCTGAGAAAGTAAGCAAGTTGTTTTAGGAGTAATGACCAATATTGAATCTTAGCAAAAGAAACATTAATAGCGATATATACCTTTGCATGATAGCTGATTCAGGTTATTTATTTATACCAGTCAAATTAACATTTCTAACTCACTATTTATAAAGTATTTCTGAGCTGAAGCAATTATACTTATGCCTTTTGATTTGATTAGCACAGGCCATTTTGCCAGTAATTCCTATGACAGGTAAATGCTAGTTATCTCATTAGTGAACTGAGGCTTGTAGAATAGAAACAGAATTCTCAACACACTAAAAGAATCCTGTTAAAGTTGTCTCAGTCAATAAGCTGTTTCTCCAGCATGTTTGTCTTAACCATATGTTATGTAGCACAACATAGCAAAATTTCCCTTCAGAACACTTTATACCCCCCACAAATGAGACAAGCACATAAAATACCTGCAATGTAAATGCAAAGGATATACAATAGATGCTACTATAAGCAAAATTGCCAAGAAAATTGTTTATGTTATTTCTACGTTCTAACTACATGACAAAGACTGTTTCTACAACAACAGTTTTTACAACGGTCAAACTTCAGTTTGACAAGCAAATCTGGAAGAGCACAGGTTGGCAGAAGAATCTACAATGTTACTATGGAGACTTGCATTTGTATAATTAGACTTAAAAAAGAGCAGTTATCTTTGGAAAACACAATCTGTTGCTGAGAATCCCTAGCCATGCCAAGAAATACAAATCTGAAAAAATCCTAATCTCTATTTGTCACATAATACATGCATTAACACGTCAGAGTCTACACTGTTGATAAAAATCAGCATAATAAAAATTTGTAGATAAGCATATACCAAATTAATTCTTTTCATAGTAGTCTATGACCTAAAACTCAGAACAGAAAACAGAGCAAACCTGAGTTTGTGTGCTGGCAGAGACTATGACATGCATGATAATGAAGGAGAACCACCCTTTTTCTGCCTTTTATTTACAATCTGCTTTCAAAATATAATACATCTCACTGACATATTAATCACTTATTTCTAAAGCTCTTAGAAATAGCTGAGCAAAAGATGCTAAACAAGTGAAAACTGTATCATAGATGGAGTAAATTTTTAGTCAACATTTGCTTTATGTTTTGTGTTGCCAAGTCTCCACTGTACAGAAAACTATATTTTAGGGGATTAAATAATTTTATTTCATCATATAGTCTTTTAAGCCCAGTTATTAGTACATAAACATTAACATTATTAACTCATTGATTATCATGTTAACAGAAAGCTCCTATGGTCTGAGGCTGCTTGCTTGAATATGTTTATGCTTTACCCATCCTTCAGTCATCTGACACTTCTGTCAGGAGTTAAGCACCTCCTAATGTTGACACTTCTCTTAAGGGATTCCATAACTCATACTGACTATTCTTTTATTTTTCATACTATCTTCATACTACAGAGCAAACACAGCAACCTGCTTTAGACAGCTTTCTCAGGTTCATTTCTTACAACTCTTCTTTATCTTGATAATTGCCTGAGATGTTGCATTTCACATTTATTTCCTATCTATTACTTTTCATGGGCTTAGACAAGGTCAGTCCTAACAATCCTTTCAAACGTGGTAGTTTACTTTCTATGCCTTCACAAACCTCCCTGTGGGGAATTTGGTCTAGGCCTTCTGTAAATCACTAGGGGGAGCCTGGATCTTACACTTCTGTCACTGGTTTAAGTACATATTACTGATTGAACATGTCAAATCTTCAGCCTAGGTATAAATGCCATTCATGTATGTTCCATATTTTTTATGTGCTACTACTGTGCATTTAGAAGTTCTCAATGAATCTAAGAACATACAATACTGCCACTAAGTAACAAAACAAAACAACAACAAAAAAAAACAAACAAACAACAAACCCTACCAAGTTAACCAGGAACTCTATGAAGTGACACATTTTCAGTATTTTAAACAACAATAGACTTTAAAAACTACTACCCAAGCTCTGCTGACATCAGATAGCAAAACTCATACATAGAGACATTTTGGCACAAGATAATTTGAAACAGTTATAAACAGTTTAAGGGTTAGAAACTGTAAGATGTAGGCTAACTGTACAAAGAAGAGAGAAACTCTCTAGAGTAAGAACGGAAACCTAGACAGTATAAAAAGTTACCTGGTGGAAAACTGCCAACTACATAACTCTGTTGACATACTACAGAAACAATTTATTTCATAGTTTACTTACTCCACTGCTTCTTGGTTAAATACTATCTAGTTATTTACAGCTCTCTATGGACTCTCCCAGTAGAGTCTAGCGGATTTTCTAGGCCCCTATGTCTTACCACATAACCTCCATTTCCAAAATCACTTCTTCACATACCCTGCCAACTGATGGACTTATCCTGCAAATGTCAAAAATTCCTGGCATCAGCTCCTACCTAACAGAAATCTCTTCAGTAACAGGTCCATAGTCAGTATCTCAGCATGCTTAAAGCTCCCTTTACATACATTACTCATTCTCAATTTGGATATTGCTGTCTGTCATTATTCAGAAGACTGAATTTCAAGGCTGAACTAAGTGGTCAGTAGGTCTCTAGTGTCTATGAACCAATGGCTTGACTCTTTTTATTTGAATCAGCATAAGTTAATCAATTACATCACCCTGCATCAAAGTCATTGTACATGAAATCATATGCAAGTCTGTTAAGCATAACAGAAAAGATATTGAGGTATCTCACATTATCTTTACTATATTTAGAGGTGATGAAATGGAAGCATTTCATTTAGTAGCAAACATACCAACAATAAAGCACCCTTACAAGATAGATCACTTACGTGCATTAGTCTCATTGTTTAAGTTGTCTGTAACATGTATTTAAAAAGTGTATCATTTTATGAAAAACTTAACCCCAAATTTTCTTTGCATTTGTAATAAAAACATACTAACATAACTACATTTTATATACTTTTATTGTAAACTATTCATCTGATTTTAATTTTGGATGATAAAATTTTCTTTAAAACAGTTCACAGCATAAGGAAATATATCTAAAGAAAAAAATGAGTAAAATGTAATCCTTTTTTTCACAGGCCTCTTCTGATTTTCCTATCGTCTAGGAGGAAAACGGTGGTACACGGGATGATCTCATCACAGGGATGATCTAAGAAAAAGAATGGTACAACGGTGCTTTATTTATTTATTTTTACAAATCAGGGAAAAGAACTGTAATTCTGTACTTTGCTTCATTAATATGTATCATGCAGCACTCTAAGATACAGCTAGTATCTAGTCCTCATATCAAATGGGAAGAATTACAAGCATCATTACCTGCCTCAATTTAGTCTTTCAAGCTGGGATCATCAATTTCTTTCTCTGACCTTTCTCTTATGCAATGCACTTCCTACCAGATGATAAGTATCTGCAAGACAGGAAAAGAAAAAGGAACCCTAAATTGATTTATAGCTCATACCATTATCCAACCCCTTAAAACAAAAAATAAACAGAAATTAAAATATAATGATGAAGTAAATTTAATTGAAAAAAACAGAAAAAAAAATATACCAAGATGCATGCACAAATTGTTTCTTCTGTGATCACAAACATAAATATGAGAGTAACTGACAAATAATTGATTTACTACAGCAAACTTACCACAGAAAGGCTTTTAGGACTTCCGTGGTGCAGTCATGACAGCACCCTGTGTTCACTGGAAGAAGTGGGCCAACCTGAAGGCCCCCCTTTAGTTCTTCTGCTACACCCTGATGTTCTCCCCATCTGCAGATGTACGCATACAGAACAATCCCTATATATAGAATAATTACCAATTTTGGGGTTCTTTTAATGAATGAATGCCTGTTTCACAAAATGAGAAACTATCAAGTTAATGAGGGGAGTTTTGCTAAGAAAACAGAATGGAATTTGGTTCAAAATTTCACTTAAACAAGTTGGTTCCATTTCCTATCTATAGAAGTCCTGAACCTCAGTATCTTTTCTTTCTTTTACAACAGAACAGCTTTTAAAATCAGCTCTTGGAAATTCTCTACAACAGCTTATCTGGCAGTTAACAATTAGCTCATAATTTATTCACAATAAATGAACAATACTTTAAAAGTTAGAATTAATGATAAGGTTTCACACACTGGCATTTCGCTTATGCAATGCCTCTGAATTTCTTGGCGATTTAAGTGCCTTTTTTGATGTTGTCATTTAAGTAATTACAATTGATCTGAATTATTTTTACCTTAAATTACTCAACACTCTCCAGTCTTACTCTTGATGCAGGCTTTCCATATAGCTATGTTTGCAACACTTGCACACAAAATGTGCACAGTGTTCAAGCAAGCATCAGCAAGGTTATACTCAATTACCAACATACTTGGTTGTTAGTCATTATTTACCTTTGCACATCTAATTTTTAGAAGTTTACTTTATCTACAGATAGTAGCTGAAGAAAAACCAAGCTCTTTACTTAGAATATTAACTCTATAAGGTCATCAAATACGGATTGAGGTGACAGTAGACCAGAACTTACAAGCTTGAGTGAGAAGAGACACTGCCTCAGTGTAGTGGCTAAACAACAGAGGAAGAACAACTCCCACACAGCAGCAATAAATGGAAAGAGCAGGAAAATTATTTTCCAGATAACACAACTTATACAAATAACCTCATGGGTTCCTCTTACTATTCAAAGTCCTGTGACCTTTCAGAATCAGAAAAACTCACATCTGAACATTCTCATGGGTGGAAGGTGGGATATTTATAAAGTAAGACTTCCTAAGGTTTACTTGTAATTTGTAAATATAGGTACTGAGGAACAAAATATTTACATGAAAACTTCCTTACAACAGTGGAAGGTACTGCAGATAACTATCACTTCCTCTCCACATATGTTCAGAAGTACCTCTAATACTGCAAGGACTAAGAAATGAAATGTCTTGCCCAAAATTAAGAACTACTTGAACTGAAGAATGTTGTCTTCCTCTTCTGGAACTTAGTTTAACAAGAACGCTCAGTGTGTACTCTGCCTACTCTTTCTGTTCTTGAGCAACTAAAAGACACGTATACCAATTACCTACACTAAGACTGAAAGACATGTTTCCCTTCTGAAAGCATCCTAGAATGATGGGTAACATATTGCACCACTTCTGCTGAATGCTCTTTTTTAAGCAGAAAGAAGTCCAAATTCACTGGAGTACACACACAAGATGCAAGTCTCTATAGCTAGTAAGGTGACTCAATTTCATCTCTTCCTCCATGGCTATTTAATATATCATCATCACTGCCAGCAATCCTATTTTGTATTTTAGAAGAAAGTGGAAATGCTATTCACGTTTTGGAAGCTTGCATTTAACCTGTCACCCAAAGAGGCATCAAAATTATGAAGTGGACAGTGATTCAAGGCTTGGATAAAGAGCAGTCACTTTAATTTTTAACATCACTGAAAAAGGTTCCTTCCTACATAAATATTACTTTCGCATTTTCTTAGGGCCTAGGAAAACACTAGCACACAAAACAAAAAGCCCTATTAGATTATTGCTAATCCAGCTTTCAAATATTCCTCTGGGAAATATGACATTCCCATGAACGCAGAACTTCTGTCATGCTGTTGGAAAGCTAGCGACTTTTCGCTCCAGTAATTCTGGAAAATCCCGAGCTGCTACATAACAAGCATTTACCACCTTAGTAGAGCTTTGAGGACTAAAATCCAATTGTATACTGAGCTATCACAAAGACAACTCTCCTTTCTTCCTGCCTTTTTGCAGACAGTAGATTTGCACATTACCTAAGTATAAACATTGTACGTTCACATGAATATGTATAAAGCTCAGTAAACTTCAAAGATCCATGCCCTGAACACATCTTGCACTGTCTTCATTTTCTAAAGTTAATTTCTCAAATTTTCCTCAATGTCCTGCAAGACCAACCATAAAGAAATTAAAGATCATATCCTATCAAGTTACAAATATCCTGAAATACCAGAAGAGCCTATTCAAAGAAGTCAAGCAAAATCTGGAACAAGTACCTCTCTCTTCTACTTCTCAGACCCTTGCACTGGTAATATTACATGAAAACAAAGAGTCTTGAACATTCTAAATTACAAAATTAGATTTTTTCAAGACTTTGTTAAGTAAAATCGTAACAAGAACGGCAACATTCAAAGGGCTTTCCTTCATCAGAAAGCACTGCTGCATTTTTAATGTAAGTAATTTCCAGCAGAAAACATTTAACAGAAAGCAGTCTGGCCAGTGCTCGGATTACAACTGAATGTATTTTATACTTTAGCTTTTGCATTACCGTAACACTGCATTATCTCATCTAATTAGGTTTTTTCAAAACCTCTAGAAAATGAACTTTCCACATGCTCTGGATGTTTGTTTATTGACTAAACATGGTGTGCATGAACTTAACAACGTATTGTAGTAATAGGATTTATGAAAGGGCAATACTACAGCCTAATGGACTACAGAAATAGCTCTGTAAAACCATCACATTATCTCTACCACAATATGTGCCTTAAATATATTAAAGACCGTAACTTTTATATTTTTGATCTTTCTATTTCTCTTGCTGAAAAGCAAAATAAAAACAGCTCCTATGTTAAGGAACAGGCCCTTAAAATTTTTGTGAGGTGTAATTTACTCAAAGTGTAAATTACTGTTATGTTTCAAATTTTATTCTGAAAAGTTACAGATTTATTCTCCACTCTTTAGGTGGAAAAATGCCCTTCCCAGATTCCAAACTAATGATGTTTGGGTTTCACTGACCTGCCTTAACAGCATTCTTACTTCTGGGCTGTTCACACCATAAAAAGTGTGAGATGCCCCACTGATTTTTTTTTTTTTTTACTCCCCAGTAGATTATCTGCAACTTCCAATTACTTCATCTGCAATTCTAAACACTTAGCATTTACAGAATTCCTAGGATCAGAAACAAATAAGTAGACATTTCCAAAAGCTCTGCCTGAAACAACTGAACTAGCAATAGGGAGAAATGCAGGGGCAGAGCCAGCAAGAAACATCGTATCTGAACTCACACGCAATCTCTTTAACCCGTAATGTCACTGCTTCTTTTCTTACCCCACCTGACATTCAATACGCATTCTTCCAGTTTCTAGAGCAAATAATATAGAAGCTCTGGAAAAAAAAAAAAAAAGCCCACAAAACCAACCAAACACCCCAAAAATCAGCCCTGGTGGTTTTACACAAAACCAAGTTTTATGCTTCATAATTTCTTCTGAGTACCTGGCTGATCTCTTCTAACAATACTTTAGTAATATCGGAAAAAATTCTTTTAAACATTCTTTTAAATCTGCCTCCTTTGAGTGGAAAGAGAGAGGAAAAATGTAACAAACAAACAAACAAAAATAAAATAAGATGCTCCCCTACCAAAGCATTTTCTAGAATGAAATATTAGACTTAAGAATCTAACTGAACATTCATGAAACGGTATGAAGCTGCATCAGAGGATGTTCAGACTGGACATTAGGGAACGGTTCTTCACTGAGGATGGCCAGTCACTGGGACAGGCTCCCCAGGGAAGTGGTCACAGGACCCAGGCTGTCAGAGTTCAAGGAGTACCTGGACAACACTCAGTAATATTACTTAGGGCTAGGTAGCTCTTCAAGGAGCAGGGAGTTGGACTTGATGATGCTTATGGGTCCCTTCCGATTCAAGCTATCCTATAATTCTCTGGAAATTCCTCTAATTAAATTGTGAATATAACTGAAAATTCTTTGAATTCTTTGAAACTTTCTTCGAAAGTTTCACATATAGTGAACACCTTCACTTCAAGTTCTTGTCAAATTGTACTCTCCTTTCACATCTAGAGCAATAGAAGTGTTTGAGTAAAAGCACAAATGCAACTTTTCTCCCTCTTGGAAGAAAAGGGCAGAGACTCAAAAAAAATCCAGCATAAATTCCCCGAACCATCCTCAATGACAACTGTTTAGCTTGCCAAAGCTATTCTACTTATTCTTCCCTACTATTCTAACACCAATATAGCCTAGAAGTCAGTGGAGAGCTTGTATTTTTCATATGCCACTCTCCAAGGTACAGTACAAGACTTTTCTCAGTTACCTTCAGATATTTTTGCCTTTCCTGTTTCTGTCCTTTTTCTCATCATTAATCGTACATGAACAGATCGTGCACTAGAACAATAAAATCACAGCCTTCACTGTTACAGCCCATGTGTTACAAAAATAGAGTTTAAAAAGCATCCTTTATTGTTATTTTATCATAACACTTAAAACTTGCTGGACAGAATTTCTTCCATTAACAACTTACAAAGCATGCTCATTAAAACCAAAGGAACCAATCCCCACGTACCAGTTTGACTTAATCTCTTAGTGCACTAGACAAGATTTATAGATTCATATGCAAACACACTGATTTTTTACTTGCCTGTTATGGTATAATGTCATCCAAAATAGTTTTTGAAGGGTGTTTTCAAGTCAAAACAATAAATTGCTCCTAGTTAACACCTTTAGTGTTGGCAATTATGAAAAATTAATGACACTTCATTATTTTCACTCCTTCTCCAAGGTCAATCATTAACTCAGTTTCTTTTCAAGAGATTGCAAGCACTCTCTGAAAATCCCAGAGAGCTTTGTTCTTTACAGGTCTATTTCCTCCTTTTTTATCTTGCCATTTTCCAGGTTAGGTGAGATTCTGCCTCCAAGTGTGACAAGAT